GAAAGCCCACTAGCTTCAGACGTATAAAAATCATATTCAAATTGTGAATTTAGTATCTAGAGTAAAGTTCTTATCATAGTTCTTTTTTTAAGAAATCATGAGATACAAAAAGTTTTGAGGAAATTTTTTTAATTAAGGTCTTCCGTTTCAGACGGAAGACCTTATAGTGATTGTACTGTTCTTTTTATTATTATTATTATTTTTTTTTCCCCTTTTCTTGTAAGACAAATTCTCAGAGATGGCTGGGCGGATTTTCTTGAAATTTTCAGGGATGGTGGCGGAGATTTTTAAATACGCTCAGACGTTTTCATTTTTTCAAAATTCACTTCCGGTCGTCAGATTTGTCCGATTTCCTGTTTTTTCAGAAATATTTTGTCATAGTCATATCTCAGAAACGGTAAGAGATTAAGACACCAAACTTATATGAGTAATAGATCTTGATAAGTAGGCAAATCCATTTGGGTTAACATCGTCCGCCGTCACTTCCGGTCGTCACAGGAAGTGATCCAAGAAATCGAAAATTTCAACTTTTCTCTTATGAATTTTTTTTTGCATCACATTATAGCATCTTATTTGTAGTTTCGAAATATATCAGTCCAACCGGAAACAAAAACGACAACTTCCGGTTATAAGAGAAAAACTGCATATTTTCAGTATTTTTCTTTCCCATAAATATTTTTTATAGATAAAGAATTTGTAAGTTATTTTTGGACATCTTATTCAGACTGCAAATGACTACAGTAACGTCAAATAACTTTGTAAAATTTACTTCCGGTCGCGTGATTTCCTGTCCTCAAAATAAGAAGTTATCATAGCTAGATCTCGTAAACGATAAGAGATTAGGACACCAAACTTATACAAGTAGTAGATCTTGATAAGTAGACAAATTCAGTTAGGAAAAGATTGTCAGCCGTCACTTCCGGTCGTCACAGGAAGTGATCCAAGAAATCAAAATTTTTAACTTTTCTTTCATGAAACCTTTTTTGCATCACATTATAACATCTTATTTGTATTTTTGAAATATATCAGTCCCACCGGAAACTAAAACGACAACTTCCGGTTATAAGAGAAAAACTACATAATTTGAGTATTTTTCTTTCCCATAAATATTTTTTATACATTAAGTATTTGTAGTGATTTTTAGATATGTTATATAGACTGATTATGTCTAAAGTAACGTCAAATATCTTTGTATATTTCACTTCCGGTCGCGTGATTTTCTGTCCTCAATATGAGAAGTTATCACAAAGAGATCTCGGAAACGGTAAGAGATGGAGACGCCAAACTTGAATGAGTAATAGATCTTGATAAGTAAGGAAACTCATAAGGGTTAAGATCGTTCGCCGTCATTTCCGGTTGTCACAGGAAGTGATCAAAGAAATCAGAAATTTCAACTTTTCTTTTAGGAACACTTCTCGGCATCACACTATTGCATCTTATTGGTTGTTCTGATATATGTCCGTCCCACCAGAAACAAAAACGGCAACTTCCGGTTATGAGAGAAAAACTGCATAATTTGAGTATCATACTATCCCATAAATATCTTTTATAGAAAGAGTATTTGGAATGATTTTAGAACATGTTATTCAGACTGCAAATGTATAGAGTAACTACAAATATCTGTTAAAATTTGACTTCCGGTCTCATGATTTTCTGTCCTCAGACTGAGTAATTAACATAGTCAGATCTTGGTTATGGTAACACATCAAGACACTAAACTTATATGAATAATAAACCTTGAAGAGTGAACAACAGATATAGGGAAAAATGTCTCCGCCGTCACTGCCGGTCGTCACAGGATGTGATTTGAAAAATCGAAAATTCCAACTTCTTCTTTCCAATTTTTTTTTTCAATACTTTATTGCATCTAATTAGTAGTTTTGAAATATGTCAGCTCCACCAAAAATAAAAAACATAGTAAAAATAAAAACAACAAAAACTTCCAATTATAGGAAATAAAACAACACCAAAGGTCAAAAAGTCAAGGTCATTGGAAAAGTATTTAAATTGCTTATATATGCCACATGACCTTGACCTTGAGTTTGACCTTGACCCTTACCCAAGAGATAATTTTTAAATTTTATTTAGCTTGATACAGCTTCAAGTGTTAAAGTCGAGTTTAAAAGGTTTTTGGATGACCTTGACCTTTGACCTCGATAAATGACCTTGACCTTTGACACCATTGACCCAAAAGTCACAATCAAGCTTGAGTCTGTGGAGGTGTTTACATCTCTCACTGTAACAAATGCTTATATACCCCCCCCCCTTTTTTTTCCTTTTTTTTAAAATCAATTGGAACCTAGAACAATTTTCTACAGTTCAAACGACGCCACAGATCGACATGAAATTTAAGGATTGCAGTAGAAGACACCTCAAAGAAAGTGTCCTGAGTGTGTAACAGTGAGTCTCTGAAGTATATAATGAAATTCTAATGAGTATCGGCAACAACTACATTTTCTTTCTGTCTGACATCTAGGTGCTGATGAGCATGAAAATTAATTAAAGCTTGTATTGGGTATTTCTTTACTTTTTGTCAATATCATTTCATTCTCCTGCCCAAATACGAAATTTTAATACCAAGTATTCTTGCTTTCCTTTGTATGTAGAGTTTATTTCAATTTTATTCACATTGAATAAAATTTGAATGAATCTTGGAAATGGCGATTTTTTTCTATCAAATAAATTTCCACGCAATTTATATAGAATTACAGTTATCTCGCTTTCTACGATGTGGAGTTGAGAAAATGCCCATGACTCACAAATTGTGTCAACAAATTACATGTAATGTGCCTATTAGAGTGCACATGTACCAAAAATGCACCCGGGACTACCCAGATTTTGGTTTGTTTTTCCGAGCAGGGTAACACATCCGGTATTCTGTAAATCAAGCTATGCCCTAAAGAAAATTCATTAATTGATATGTTGTCATTTACCTTCCCTCTGAGAAACACACCTTCTTCTAAGGCCTACGGCTTTTCAGCTGATTTTCCTCTGCAACTGACCACGTGTATTAGTTTCGCACTTACAGCTCTGTATATGCTAAGTGTCATGTAATACCTACATGTTTCAGCAAGCACTCTGATTCACTGCAAACGTGTCCTATAATTATTCTAATCATTTTTCTACATCAAATATCACATCAAACAGGGAATATCTCAGTTTTTTAAGACATTTGACCGGGACTTTAATACGAAACTATGTCTTTCACTTCGAAACTATTTCCTTCAACCTTAAAATAATAAGCTTACAAAATACCTTAAATGTTATGGAATTTGGTGGCTCAGTGGTTAGCGTGTCCGACTATCATATTAATGGTTGATTGGTATATTGTTTAATCGAGAATTTTTCCCAGATGGATGCCGGTGAAGGGCTTCAAATTTAGACCTATTTTTTTTTTTATTTTTTTTTTGCGAAAGACCCGTGACTTTCACTTCTAGTTTTTTTTTTTGTCTTAGGTATTTTTTTTTAAATAGAAAAATATCCTTCTTACAGATAAATAGAGAAGAAGGGAAGACCTTATTTGTTGCTGTAGCAACAAGAGTTTCTAGTTAAAATTTATTTTTCTATAAAAAAAAGTGATATCCATTAGGTTCGAACCCTGGCAATAAAAATTCTGAGTTGCATTCTCTTTTGAGACTAGCACGCTAAGCACTACGCTACACAAGTTCTGATGAAGTGTGACATTTAAATCATGTTTGTGATATGACCATTGACTTAAGGGACTTCAAGTATTTCTTGAAAAGATACGAAAGTTATGTCAAAAAATTATATTTTTAAGGTATAGTGGGTCTTTGCTCCATAATTTTAGAAACCAAAATACGTATGTTTGTATGCAAACTTTGAGGATTAACTCTCAAAAAAATGGAGAGGAGACCCACTCATATCAAAAAAGTGTTATAGTGTGAAAAAATGACTCGTTTTGTCCTCTTTCGTGTATGTACAGTATTTCATAGACAAAGAAGTTCAACCTTCATGAGATTTGTGCAAGTTGTAGAGATTTTACATAAAGTATACTTTAATGTTAGATGAAATATTAAGGAAATTTTTTATATCATTGAAATTTAATTTTTCACCTCCATGTTTGTTGCGCTATGGGTTTATCTCACGTCATGTTCACCCATGTCCTTTTAAAGTGCATGGACACAGATTTGAAGTTAATATTTTCTGTATAATATCACGACTTATATATTTTAATAGCATTTCACACTATAATATATTAAAAATTTTATTGCACTTTAAAGTTATTGAAACTTCAAATTTTTGGATGGGTTTGATCATAACTTTCTTGCACTCTAACAAATTTTATTTTTATTTTTAATACTTAGGAAAAGTGGCAATCTAGTTGTATATAAATGAAAATATTAAAGCTATAATCCAGAAACCGGAATTTAGAAATGTTCGGCAGCAAAACATACACACAGTACATTGTCAGTCCGTGCAGTTGTGGTGAACAAACTTTAACAATTAAGCGCACCCGGTGAATCACAAACATCAACAATAACAGAGCTCGTGCCCTGTTTACAAAAACTGTGTACGTTTCACGGGTGTGATCAATTTGCTAAACTCTGTGCATAACACTAAGCGCGGAATGAGGATCTTGTGAACGGGTTTCCCTTTCTAAAATTTCTACTCTGAATATAATCATTTTTCACTATTAAAGTCTTAATATTTTTCATTAATACACAACCAGATTGCCAAATTTCTTTACGTATTAAGAATAAAAGCAAAATTTGTGAGAGTGAGGAAGTGTCAATCAAACCCATCCAAAAATTTGAAGTTTGGACCCAGTGCAATAACATTTTTCATATATTTTTGTGTGAAATGCTATTAAAATTTATAAGTCTTGATATTATACAGAAAATATTAACTTCAAATTTGTGTCTATGCACCTTTAAGGAAAATTCACCGCTTGATATTCTTTTTACTAGAGGAACAGTCATCAGAAAGTGTGAAGAGATTGGATGCCCATAAGAGACACATTTGTTTGAGTCGTTTGACAGGGGGCTGTAGGAGAAAGGGACTGTGATAAACACCACACTACCCTCCCCTACCTCTGGCAAATCCGCATCTATGGAGAATGGTTCAGCTTTGACGATGAAGAAAACCAGAAACTGGAACAAAGCTATTGTGATTTACAGGACCTGGCAATCGCAAAGGTACCCTCTGATCATATTTTAAAGTTAAATGTTTTGAAAAGAAAGTCTTCTTTGAGAATCAACTACCTTCATTTCATTTTTGACGGAGTAATTTGTATTATATTCACTCAGATTATGGCTCGGAAGGAGAGTTTCGAAATCAGGGTGCATTTTGCTAAAGATTATGGAATCATTGAAAAATCTGCTGGAAAACCTCTGAACACATCTTGTCCCTTGGAAACAAGACGCCTATCTACTTCTTCGTTTGCCACGGAAGACTCGCCTCTGACATCGGGTTCCTTCCACACTCAGTGGAGGTGGTACTTCTTAGATGACTTTCGGCGCTGGATTCTGTACGAAAAGGTAATACAGTCAATTACATAAATTATCGAATAGGCAACATTTTTTATGACATTTGCGATATATTTCTTGTGTGTTTACTCAAAGGAATATATTGTTATACATAAAATCGTAATTCTGCACTGATATTTAAAAATTTGAAAATTAAAAAGGAATGCACTAAACTCTTGTACCATATTTAACTTACTGGAAAAAAGAAAATCTTTTATCGTTAATAGGATGAATTTCAATACACACTAGAGAAGAAATACGTAATGGGACAAAAGAATTACCTGTTCACACGACGAAATCACAGACACCAATACAGAATTGAATTTGTCGACTGGACACAGCTAAACTATGTCACCTCAAAACTTCGCTTGGTTGCAAGACGACCAAAATTTGTTTGCCTCTCTAATGTTTTGACGAAGTCATTGTAAGTAAGCTGGTCAATTCTTTGTATCAATTGTCCTCTTATAGCACACTAATTTATAAGAACTTGCATATAGTCTGAAAACTTCTATACATAGTACATTATAATCTATGCAATTCCTGCTAAACATGGTTATACATTCATTTGTATTTAAATATTTCTGATTCAAGAATTCACGTGCTCTCCAAAGTGTCATCAAGATGAGTAAACCAACAGCATTTCTATGATGTTCAGCTGTTTTGTACAATGATTCCTTTTTCATACTAGAAAGAATGATTTATCTTATGCCAAACTATCTTTTGGTTTTTCTATATTTTCTTTCGTTTTAATTTTCAACCAAAATAAGATTTCATATAGCGTTATTTTTCATAATTACCCACTCTTATTCCAGTCCTAAGTTTCTGAAGATACGTGCACCTGAACCATATCCTCAGTTATGGAATCCAGTGGATATAACGCACGACTTTGAATGGGTTGACCTAGATAAAACAAAGCCAGAATTAAAAAAGATAAAAACTAAATTTTCGAGACACTTTCTGAAAAACGTTTTCAGATCTGCAATATCTACCGCATTCAGAATCTGGTTCTTTGGAAAGAATATGAAATGTAAGTTTTCATTTTTGTAAGCTTTTAATTATAATGATGTATTTACGGAAGCCCTGGAGGGACATTGACTTACTTGTTATGACTTATTTGTTACAACTTTTTTGTTTTGACTTATTTGTTGTGAATGTTTCGTTGCTAGTGTAAGAAAGTTATTGAAAACCTGTTGCTTGGCTTACTTTTACGATAAAAATGCTATTTAGTCCTATTTTAACTGTGGTTTTTTTTATTAACAAATTGTAGTTTAACGTCAATACTTGATATCGCGATTACTTAACTTAGCGGAACTCTTTCACGAAGGAGGTAGGAATCGTCTGTTGGGTGGGGGCAATGTGCCTATTCAATACAATGCAAGATCGATCATTGTAGCATTTATAAGGACAGATAAGTAAAAAATCCTGGTATAATACCTCGCTAAACAATCACTGAACCAGCCTAAAATTTTTTAGAGGGGCCCAATTTTAAATTGTCCTTTTTTAAAGATATTTTTAATTAAGCGGACTCTTCTCGTTAAGTTTT